GAAATTGTGTGCTCATATAATGATTATGCCAACATCAAATTAAAGTTTTTATTGCTTTTGTGGAGCCATATAAATATTGTAATCTAAACAACAATCTTTTAAAAGTTTCAACGGACTTTAATCACAAGAATTTAATGATGTTGAAAAAATTAGACTTTTTTACTCGATAAATATTGAAGTGTTATGAATACTCGCTTTCAGGAAAGTAAACATAACAACCTAGGTAAATATTTATATTATCCTAATTATTAACGTAGGCAAGTACCAGGGGCTTTGTTAAAAGCTTATAAGCTTTTTCCTTAAGTGAATATGAAAGCAGCTTTATGGGATCAATTTCGTATTTGCTACTTTCAGGATAATTGGAAAATCAGGAAAGTAGAACTATCGGAAATCCAGTTATTCACTGGTTAGATATTTATCAAAAGAAATTAATTTAATTACGAAAATCCTTCATTTCACATCCCACACATTTTAATGTAAATAAAAACTTACAAATAGATACATCTTACTTAATGAACCTAATACTTCCCTAGATCTTGGAATTCATTAATATACGAGGAATTTTTATACAATATTAGCTAAAAGAATTGGGTTCATTACATATTTATGCGTGAATAAATATTGGAATTTTACGTATTAGTTTATTTGGAATACGTAAGAGAGTAAATAAAGTATGAAATCTGAAATGATTTCTTTAAAACAACATCAAATTAATGAAGGTATTGGTTTCATTAATTAAAAGCGATATTCCTGAAATAGTCACACTAACAAATGATAATCAAATTATCCAGCTTAATATCGAATGCCATTTCTTGCAATTAGTCATAATAAACATATTTTTTGAATTCTTGTTGATTGGATAAAACTAATTATTAATCAAATTACTTCTGTTAAAAAAGTTCTTTGGCAGAGAAATAGTTATGAGCATGCAATTCTTAAATAATAACACTTCTATAGTTTATATATGCTTATAACAATTCATATAACAGTAGTAATCATGAATTATGTAGTAATTCATTTAGAATCACAATCAGACATCCCAGCTTTATAATTAAAAATGCAAATGGAGAAAGTTGGCAGAGTTAAATAAAATACAGCGAGTTTATTATGAATCAATATCTGAACTCTCTCCTCGTATTGATAGATTTAAAATGTACCCTTTTAATTTTTTCTAAATGTATAAAAGTTACCCAAATGAAGAGTGGACATGTGCACTTGTGTCAAAATGATTGCAGGTATAGCAGCTCTACTGAACATGGATATAAAGGGAGGTAGGAGATATACACCGCATATATGACGCGCAATGATGAAACCTGTTCTAGGTAGAGGAAATAGATCAAAAGTAAAGTCGACCTATTCGTGGATGCGTCCATATCGAAGCAATATACAGTAGCATGGTTTTTGATTTCGGAAGGTAAGCTTAATGCTGGCAGTTATCAGAGAATGGGGTCAGTCTATGACGAGCATTGAAAAGTTCGAACAATCGAGGCAAATTCGTGAAGGATGGCAAATGATACCAGATCTTCAAGACAATGCTGGCCCAAACGTCTTTCTAGAAGCCCAGACAACCTCCTTACAAAATTTCGTTGAAAAGTGTAAGAACACCGAGTACTGTTCAGATTTGTTCCCCTGAAACCTTTCACACTTTGTTCCACTTAAGGAAGCATTGCGTTTCCTTTCGGACGATGAGGTGAAATAAGTTATGCGGGATTTCCTCGAGAATCAACCACAATCTTTGTACAGCGAAGACATAGACCTATTTTCGAAACAATGGAACCTGTGTTACATCTCCTAAGGCAATATATTTAAAATTCCAAAAAAGATGTGGCGAGCACTGCTTTGTTCGAACAATTGGTGCAAAGGTTTTCATGAAGGATGGCAAATGATACCAGATCTCCATGACAACGCCGGCCCAAAAGTCTCTCCTGAAGCCCAAACAACCTTACAAAATTTCATTGAAAACTGTTGGAACACCCAGTGCAGTCCAGATTTATATCCCTGAAACCTTTCACACTTTGTTCCACTTAAGGGAGCATCACGTTTTTATTCGGACGATGAGGTGAAGGAAGTTATGCGGGATTTCCTCGAGAATGTGTGAACCACAATCTTTCTACAGAGAAAACATAGACCTACTTTCGAAACAATGGGACCTGTGTTACGACGCCCAAGGCAATCTATTTTAAATTCCGATAAAGGTGTTCTTTTTATTCAACTTGTACACATTTCATTTGGGCAAACCCTTATATATAACAGTTGTGATGAAATGTTTTCAGTCAAGTGGTCATGTTCGTGAGATTTGTATTCGAACTAGTTACAATTCCAATTCTAGTTATAATTTCAATAAGACTTTTTGTAAAGTCTCTCATGCGATTTACATATACCTTAAATGGAATTTGATCTCAAAGTACTCTCTTGTGTGGGCATGGAAGTAATAAGAGAGAATTAAAAACCGCTCGGGAGTCGTTCGCATCACTTGATTGTGTTTAAAAATTGTGAGATACGTTACATCAATAGGCCTTTTTTTTGTGCTTTTGTGTGACATTAATGTAAAATGTTACTAAGTATCGCCAAAGAGCTCCTAACTCTTCAAAATCACACTTAATAATATTAAATTTAAAGAGATTATCAGATTTAGAGTGCCCTGAAATTTCAGACTAGTATAGTAAAATTGTTTTTTCAAATATTTCATATAAAAATACAAGCACTAATTCATAATGCAGATAACTATGTAAATAGGGAAAAAGCAACCCTCTCACTCACTCATCACGATCTCTCCAGAACAATTAGACCAACAAACATGAAATTTGGTAAGCATGTTTCTTTTGTTGAGTCGAGATCCACTAAGAACTATTTTTGTAGAAATCCACTTCCAAGGGGTATTGAGGGGCCTTCATGGATAAAAAAAAATCATGTTTTTGAACTATTAGACTTACAGACGCGAAATTTGGCCAATATGTTCCGTTTGCCGAGTAGTGATCCACTAAAAATGGGCTTTGGGGCTTGACCGGGGCTATGTGTGTGTGGGGACTAGGGGAGGGTACCCCATGTCCTCCTAACATAGGACACACCTGCATTGTACAAAGTGTACAATTGTTCATACTCAATGCTCAAGCTGTAATTTACATGTATTATGTAATTCTATTTATTTGTTCTTTTTTTGTTGCAAAATTTGCTCTTGGCGAGCTCTAATGTGCATCCGCAACTGTATTGGCGACAATATATGAAACGATGCACGTGGTTGCCAATACAGCACTTACGACACATGCAAAATTGGGGTGGCCAACATGGCGAGTTATCTTGATTTTTGGCATTGTTGAGATAGTACGTAAAAAGTTTACTACAGCATCACGAAAAACTTTTTGTAAATATAGAGATATAAAATCATCAATTGATATAAGCATTATAACAAAACGATAATTTTTCGTACTAAGTAATCGGCACAGAAAGATATATAGTTAGCATAATTCCATACACTAAAACCTTTTTACAGTTTATTTTTTACCCCCTTTTCTTCCACTTCGATATTTACCTGATAAACTGTATAGGATAACATTCTTCTCTTAATTAAATAATAACGATAATTTCTAGCTTAATAATGGTTCAACTATCAATACTTTTAAGTAAGATATTAATTGTTTTTACAACATTTTCATTAGGATAATGGCGATGAAAGATTTTGATCCCGATAATTAAGAATAATTATTTTATATTACAAGTAAAAATCTTTCCTATTACCTTAATATAATAATGGTCATAATAACAACATCCTACTTCTTATTTTTAGAAAAGGTAAGAGCAATTCGACGCGTTTTGAATGGAAATATGTTCGCAATTTTTTTAAAGAAGCTAATGAGCCTATAACTTTTTTCAAATTAAATCTTAGAAATGTGTCTGTTACGTGGAATAACATTAGATTACACTAAGAAGTGATAAAACGATTGCCCATTTAATTGTAACATGGATGGCTTTAAATTCTAAAATAAGCTGGAATTTATTCTATTGTTGCTAGGCCATCCTTGAAAAATGTTAATCAAATCAAAGAATTACCATATTTTTCTTTCCAGCATATTACCTGTTAAACTAACAGAGCGAATATTTTTCTCCGATCCTGTGATTGTTTGCGCAAAGGAAAATGTATCCCTTTTGTATTTTTTGAAAGAAAAGGAAATTCAACGACTGAAAAAAGCCGGTCTCTGAGATAAGCCACAATTCAATGGAGTTTTTCGTTTTCGCAGTTGCTATTTTTATATATTCAGAGATGAAATTGTGAATATCTGCGTTTGCAGCACAATGAATATCAGTTTTTCTATCAAAACTAGAGTTTGGAGAACATAGAACCATTTTTGATCCACCTGGATATTTTACAGAGAGTAAAAAAAGGAACTCATTTGAAATGCATGTGTGACATGCTTTTATCTCCGAGTTTTATGATCTCGAAAAATGTATGGTGCGCTGGATTTAGCAAGAGATAAAGCGTTCGCTACAAAGCATATGTAAAATTTTTATTTGAATTTGATATCAAATAACTGCAACAGCGTAGTTCTAGTGTGATTTAACATGATGGGTTCAAACAAAAAATTGCGAAAATTTCGTATTTCTCAGAAAATAAGTTCCATTTTTCATACAGAAAAACTAAAAATTCCCTTTTTTGTAGATCTTTATACAAATTTTTATGTTAAATTTTTGAAGAATAGTCTAAACAAGTAATATAAAAAAATCTTTTTAAATCAATTCCTACTTACATCATTAAAGAAAATTTTTATTTTAGTTACTTTTTATTAAATAGTTACAATTAATATAAATATATATATACATATAACAGAATCACAAAATATTAAGTGATAAAATAGAAAGCGATTTTCCTTGCAACTTTCCATTTTCCTTTCTATATTTGGTGCTGGACAATTTTGTTTGTTTGATACTATTTATTCATTAATTAAATTTTATTATTAAACTAAAATAGTATAGTAAAAAAGAAATCACATTCTCAGAAATTAGGCCATCCCAGGTGGGATTCAAGCCCACGAACTTTGGATAAGAAGTCCAACGCGTTATCCATTGCACTATAGAGATACAACGAACGATTTTCCTTTCTATATATGCTGTTGGACTATTATTTTTGTTTGTTACTATTTATTCATTTTCTTTTAAATTTAATTAATGAATTAATATTTTATAAAAACTGTATTAACATCAAGTGTCATCCACTGCAAGTTAAAAAAATGTATTTGAACTTGAATGGATAAATAGAAAGTATTTTATTAACTATTAAAAATTTGAACAAGATTATATTAGAGAGAGAAAGAACTAATAGTAGGAATTGAAAAGTGTAATATATTTGGTGTATTATAGAGGGCATATTTAATTCAGCTCTGATGAGATCGAGTCGTTATTACCAAGATAATAATGTAATCTTACTCGCTACTTAATCCTTTAAGCGGTCAGTTTTTTACTGTCCAACATGTTAAAAAAAACACATTTTATAATTTCATATAACAAAGCATAATACTTAACAAAATCCGAAAATGAAAGAATTTTCCTTTAATTTTAAATTTTAAGGTTTTTCACGCTATTTTTTATTTTGCTATTGTGAAACACAAAAGACTCTAAAAGTATGCTTTTTTTTAAGTACACTCAGCATACTATGAAGAATATTTCCTGTATCTTAAAAGAATTTATTTCTTACTTACAAAAAACTCATGTTCATACCTCGTTTTCAAGTCGTTGAGTATTTGTATGTGTATGTGCAGATATAAACGAACACACAATTTGAAGCATGGTATAATACTAAGTCGAACAATACAATGTAGAAAGAGATAATATCGGTTTTAGATTATCTTTCCACATTTTCATTTCTTCTCAAGCAACAAATTGAGATGTATTTCAGTACTATGGACGAACTGTATCCTTAAAAACACTAGCTCTAATAATCTCACTATTTGAATTAAAAATACATGCAAATCAAAGATAGAAATAAGAAAATATCAGTGCCCGTACAGTGTACGGGCAAACCTGTAGTAGTCAGCTTTCGGTAGTCCATACAGTGTACGGGCAAACCAATTAAGGGGTTAATTGTATTTTTTCAACCTCTTATAAATTTACTAGCTGTTGCCCACCCAATTTGCTGGGTATTTCATGATATCGAATAGTCACAAACCGTCGTATAATTAAAGTTATTGATATCTAAGTCATTAGGTAGATTATTAATATTAAATCATTATCATTTAAGTTTTGATTGCATTGATAAACATTCTTATATCCATCACTTTTTGATTTAAAAAGGACAGAACTTGAATTTCTGAAACTGAAATTAATTATTTTTCACGCCACCCGTAACTTTCCTCCACAGTTGATTTCATCGAAACCCATTTTTAGTGGTTCTCTACTCAACAAAGAAAACATGCTTGTGTCAAGTTTGAAGTATGTAGATCTAATAGTTAAAAAAAATTTCTTTTTATCTTTACTCTAACCTAATCCCCTTAGAAGTGGAATTCCATAAAACCCGTTCTTAGCGGATTTCTTCTGAAGAAAAGAAACGCGCTTACCAAATTTCAAGACTTTAGGAGCAATAGTTCTGGAGATCTCCCGATGAGTGAGTTTTTCCTCTTATATATAGAGAGAGATAATAATCTCATTTTCTTTAGGAACCCTTTAGATTCTTGAAAGGATACGTTTTAATGTATTTTCTGTTTTTCTTCTTTAGCTGAATGCTATAAATATTGTTCTTGTTGAATTACATACATCTCTTTTACACAGTATTTTCCAGTTTAATTTTTGAGGACCTTATACTTAGTACCTAAAGAGAACCTATTTGAGGACCTTAAATCTGGATGTTTATTTTTTAATCATTGATCTAAATGCAGAAGACATTTTAAAATTCCAGCAAGATATAAAGATTTTATTTTAGTAGACGTCAAGAATTATTTAAAGAACTTGCAAAATCAAAAGTGAAAAATGAATGTAAAAATAAATAAGGATAAATTATAACAAAAAAATTAGAGATGTTCTGACAAAGAATTAGTGTCACAAAATACTGTGCACAGAAGCTCATCTCAAAGCATTGACGGAGAAAATTCTACATTGGATTCAATTATAGAAAATATATGGAACATTTTTCTAGTAAAGACAGTGATTTTGATCCCTCTTACACTGTAAACAAATGTTTTGATTGCACTGCTCTGCTAAAAAAAACAAGGAAAAAATCACGCCCTGGTACCATTTCTTTTAATTCTTATGTAAAATGACCTTCAGAATCTCTGAATATAAAACTCCATTCCCCTCGATTTTTACCACTGCTAGGCAATTTTACGGCCACAAATTTGATTTAGAGGAGATGCGAAAAAAGGATAAAGGTAAAAAAGTTTTAGAACAGGAACATTTGTAACAGAAGAAATTTGCCTCCTTAAATTTAAAAATATCAATAGAGAAATTATCGTTTTTTCACACAATTTTTCTTTAATTTCTGCATATTCCAGCGTCCATCATGCGTATTACAGATCTTCAATGCAAAAAAAATTAGCATTGAAGCGATTTTATTGTCTTAACAATTTTTTTCGACAGTTTAAACTAAGTATAAAGATCGTAATTAATTTATTTTTCTGAGTAAGTGGATATTAACGTCGCACTGTTTAGCTACACGAGGAATTTTGGCGACGGATCTCGTTATTTTGAACCATGGTCAAGTGACGAGGACGACACCTGAGCTGGCACCTCCCTCTCCTAACTACCACACCACACCAACTGGAGGACGTTTGAGCTCTCGACAGATTTAACGAGCGTCGTTCCTCTATACGGTGGGCTTTCAATGGTACTGGGCACGAACTCAAGACACGCCAGCCACGAGTTTCGTTACCTTGACCACTAGGCTACCGCGGTCATTTATTTTTCTAAATTATGCTTCTAAAGCAAAAATGCACGTAAGAGGTACTAATTAGATTTCACTTGAGTTTAATTACTTCCCTCCCTGCCTAAAAATGTTATTTTAAACGCAATATCAGCATAGTAATCCTTCGATATATTAAAAAAAATAATGGTTTATATTATAAAAAAAATTGTTAATATGATTAATTTTTTTGATTTGTTAATACTACAATTATACAGCTATCACTTTTAGAGAAAAAAACTCCGAAATTACGCATACCGTAAAATTCGGAGTATAGCTCGAACTTTTTAATTAAGATTGAAATGTACGGGTGCACGTGATGCGCCGGGTATAAAAATAGCTTCAAAAATAACACAAAAAGGATAAGCATTAAAAAAAAGCAGACTTCTTTATAGATCGAAATACTTTTTAAATAAAAGAAATGATGTATCTAATGAACACAGGCGTGCCTAGTCCTAATTGGGCCCTGAATCAAACTTCCTTGGGGTCCCTTTTTTAGAAAACAATTAAAACACTTATTCCAAAATGTCAACATGATACACATTTTGGAGCCCCTGTGTAGCTTGGGGTCCCCGTATCATTGAAGCGGCCGATACGGTGGTAGCTACGCTCCTGCTAATGAATTTAAAGTGTTGTAGTTCTAGAAGTATACTGTTTCTTCAAAAACCTGGAATAATACTTCGAATAAAGGACTTCAAAACATAAGCACTGCACTCGTTCATTTCAGGTTCCTTTGCAAAAAAAGGGGTGTATTATACGATGAATATATTTGAAAATTAGAAAAAAAAAATACAGTTTTTGAAAGTATAGGTGCGTTTTATACACCAGATTTTACGGTACTCTGCTACCATTTTCAAGATGTGAAATTGATTGAAAAACGATATATTAAAAATCAAGTGAATAATTCTGAATTAAAATAAATATCCAAGCAAAATAGCACATACTTTATTGTTAAAATAAAATAATAAAAGCAATTTTTATTGATGATATGATAGAAATTTATATTAGCAAAGTACTAACTTTTCGTTACTTTTTGTTATTTAATCTAGGCTCCTGCGTTATTATTCATGATACTTTAAAAGAAAAAAATTCTTCAATTTTAGATTGATCTTATTCAATAGTTTTTTGATCCAAACAATTTATTTTTTGAATAGAACACATTATTGTTTCTAAATTGCATCGTCTGTCAAACAACTTCATACTCCCTGCTTCTACAACGCGATTCGGATTGAGACTCGTTAGTACAAAAATCTCTTTCTTCTCTTTAAGCATTACAGTCCGTTTCGAAATAGCCTTAGTCGCAGAAAAACGTCAACCGAACCAGAAAATCGCCTTTCACGACAAAAAATAATCTTCTCCAAGAAGCAAAGTCTTACTCCCAATTTTGAATGGCTTCAAGAGAAAACATTACTGTATTTTTTTCTTCTTAACGAGTCCTGTTATTTTTTCAGTCGACCGATCAGAAGTACAAGAAAATAGGTTTCTTTTTTAGTAAGTCTACTTTAGAAAATACTTAGGAATACATTATGAGCTTTTTTAACTACAGTCATATTATGGACTGAATGGAAATTATTTTTGAAATCATTTACATTGGGAAGGGGGAATTGCAATATTTTTTTAAAAAATGCTATTTTTAATATCTTTAATGTCTAGTTTTCTTTTACTTTAACCTATGAATTCAATAAATCCAGAGCCACTTATGTACTGTAAAAGCCGGAGTATAACACGCACTATACGTTTAAGCAGAATTTTTTAATTTTGGGGTTATTTGTCGTACAACGCGCCTCTCCTCTTTTTACGAAGAAACCTGAAATGTACGCGTTCAATGCTGTTATGTTTTGAAGTAACTTATTCGAGGTATTATCTCAAGCTTTTGAAAAATGGTATACTTCTAGATCAACAGCCCTTTAAGTTTATAAGGAATGTCATTTCTTTTAAATAAACAATATTCCGTTATATATAAAAGTATAATTTTTCTTTATGCTCATCTCTTTTTCATTTATAAAGATATTTTTATTCCCAGCGTATAACGCGCGCCCGTAGATTTCGATCTTATTTTTTGTATTAAAAGCAGGCCTTTTCGAACCGAAAAAAATATCGGTTTATTTCGGTTCGATATATTTTCAGTCATCTTGTTTCTGTAACCAACTTATCAATATTTTCTCTTTTAACGTCAACCATATAATTATCA